CCGGGGCGGGAGGCGGCCGCCTGCCCCCGGCGCGAGCCCGGTAGGCCCCGTGCCCCCCGGGCGGCCGGGGGGGGTGCGCCCCGCGCCGGACGGCGCCTCGCTCACCTCTCGCCCTCTCGCCCAGGTGGTCAAGTGGCCGCGGAAAGGCGCCCCGGCGGCCGGGGCCGCTCGCTCGGCGGAGGCGGGGAAGAGCGGCCAGCGCAGCGACCTCTTCGAGGCGCTCAGCGCGGGCCGGAGCGCCGTGCAGGTGACCGTCGCTGCGGGGCCGGGGCGTCGCCGCGCGCCTTGCAGGGCTGGCCGCGGGCTGCGTGGCCCGGGCGGGTGGCGGGGAGCGCGGGCCCAGGGCTGCGCCTGGACGGCCGGGGGGCCGTCTAGGCCGCCTCTCGGTAGACGCGGCCGGGCGGGCGGCTTCGGGAGGGCCCGTGCAGCTGGTTTCTCCGCCTGGGCAAGAGGCTAAGGTAGGGTGCAAAGACGGTGGTGGGATGATATGGGGCACCTTTTATGGAGCACGAAGGTAAGAGAGTTGAGCCCCAGACTGCTCTCTAGTGCTGGGGAGAACCAGCACAGCTATTTAGGGAGGGGGTGGATACTTTGGGTTGGCTCTGCACTGGAACAGTAGAGTTGGAAGGGGCCAGAAGGCCTTTGGGTCCAAACCCTGCTACTGCAGGACACTTAGCTCCATTAACCCATTCAGGTGACTGTTCAAATGCTTTCTGAATGTCTGCAGGGAGGAAAAGCCCGCAACTTCCTCAAGTAATAGGTTCCATAGCTGCATTGCCATGACAGTGACAAAATTGTACCTGGTGTCTAGTCTTGCCAACCCAGTGACAAGTAGATGCCCCCAGGGCTCAGTTCTGCTCAGTCGTTTTATCAATAACCTGAGTAACCAGTCTGCTGACCAAATTCGCAGGCAATACCAAAGTGCAGGGCCCCTAGGATGACGAATGGGCTTCCATGGGAGGGAGTGGAGGCACCATCAGTGAGGGTGTTCACAGAAAGATTGGACATCTACATATTGGATATTATATGAGTGGAGCCGGCTTGTGCTGGGGGTTAGACTAGATGGCCCAGGAGACCCTTTTTGATTTGCTATGTTTCTATGTAACTTAAGTTCGTTTTTCCAACTCACTCTTAAGGGAAAAGGAGCCCAGAGGGAAATCTTGAAAAAGAAGATTCCCTAAGCACCATTAGTTAAGTGACAACCTGAAAGGGGAAATATATATATATATATATATATATATATATATATATATAGGAGATGGAAGCAGGGCCACAACACAAAAGAAAGAAATAACAAGGAATTGCAGGGATAGCATCAGGAAGGCTAAAGCAAGAAATGAGCTGAGAATAGTAAAGGATGCTAAGAACAACAAGAAGGCTTCTTCAGATACATCCAAAACAAAAGACATGTGAAAGAGAAAAATGTCCAGTTATTTAAAGTGGATGGCAGAGTGATAACACCACAAGGAAAAGGTGGAGGTTTTCAATTCCTCAGTCTTCTCCCATAGGATCTACAATGAAGAGGAAGTACAAGCTGAAAGTGAGAGATGGCAGCCCAAGCTTGACAGAGAAATGGTCAAGGAATTCCTAGATGGAATAAATCAAATCTCCAGGGACTGATGAACTCCATCCCAGAGTCATAAAAGAGCTAGCAGAGGAATCCTAAGAACCTCTGGCAATTATCTTTGATAAATCTTGGAAAACAGGAGAAATGCTGGATGACTGGAGAAGGGCTGACATCGATCTCTGGAAAAACTCTGGAGCTAATTATTAAAGAATCAGTATGAAAGCACCTCAGAAAACATGCAGAATTAATAAAAGCCAGCGTGGGTTTATCAAAAATAATTCCTGTCAGACTAATTTCATCTCATGTTTTGACCGGGTAACCTCCCAAGCAGACAGAGGAAACAATGTGGACAAAACCTACCTTGCGTTTAGCAAAGCTTTCAACATAGTGTCCCATGACATTTTGAAAAGCAAATTAGCAAAAAGTGGACTAGATGGAAAAACTATTAGGTGGATCCAAAATTGACTGCTAAATTAGGCACGAAGAGTATTCAATGCCACCTTCTCATACTAGAGAAAGGTAATTAGTGGGGTGTTGCAGGGTTCAGACCTAGGCCCAGATGAGCAGGTACAAGGAATGATAATCAGAATTGTAGACAACAGAAAACTGGGTGGAATAGCGAACACCCTAGAAGACAGAAGGAAGATCCAGGGCGATCTTGATAAACTTGGACACTGGGCTGAAAGCAACAGAAAGAGATTCAATAGGGAGAATTGCCAAGCCCTCCACCTAGAAAAATCAACCAAAAGCATGGATACAAGATGGGGAATACATGACTCAACAGAACTGAAAAAGAAAAAGACCTCATAGTTATTGTGGAAAACAAGCTAAATACGAGCTATCAATGCAGTGCAGGCACAAAATGGGCAGGTGCTCTTTTGGGATGCATTAAGTATTAATTTCAAATTAGAAGAAGTAGTAGCTCCCTATATATGCCTCACTAGTCAGACCCCCATCTGGATTACTGTGTCCTGTTCCGGGCACCAAGATTTAAGAAAGATGCAGAAAAATGAGAAAAGGTCCAGAAGTTGGTAAGCAGACTGAATCGCCCTTCCCGTACAGCTGCTGCCAGCTAAACAGACCACTCGCCTCCAGCTGAGCGCTCGGAGAACACAACCTCTCAGAAGACCTTCCTGCACGACTTCCAGTCACTCTGCCTTGCCTGCCTGCTTCTGGCTCCTTTTGCCACCAGACTTGTGCCAGTGCTCCCTGGGAGCTTAGCTGCTTGTGTCCCAGAGGCCTTAGACTAGCTGGGGCAGCTTCTGCTCTACTCTGCTGTGAGTCAGGAACCAGTAAACACGGGGCAGCAGGATAAGCTGTCTTGAATAAGTTTCCACAGAAAAGTCAAACTTTGAGGAAGGATGTTGATGGGAGGGGAAGGAGGTAGTGTGTGACAAAAGTTCTGGGAGGAGGAGGAGCAGCAGGTGTAAGGGGCTGCAGCAGATAAAGCAGGAGCAGGGGGCACGTGTGGTGGAGCGTCTCTTCAGGGGTGCTTCCCTTCTCTGTCTTTGGCATTACGCAATGCATTGTCTTACACGGATGTGCTATTGGGACAAAGGGAAGCTTTCTTCTTAAGTGCTGGGGAGGGAGGGTGATAGTTGCAACTGGAGAGGTAGGAGAACTTTCCATTGTTAAATGGCAGGGTGAAATGGGGGTGGCAGCTGGAGAGGGGAGCAGGAATGGGGAGAAGCTCTTTGGATGGTTCACAACAGCAGAACAGGATGGATGGTCTGTATGAGACGGGAATGTGGGATTTAAACAGATAACACAGGTGTGCGGATGTGGAAATGAAAGTGCTGATTCCTGTTCTGGGCACAGCACTACTGGCGTGTGACTACTCACAGGTCATCCTCAAGGGAATGTCACTCTGGGGGTGGGAAAGGTTCCCACCACCTGAAACAAAGCACTGTGCTGTTGAAGAGTACAGTAAATGTGAAAATTTGTTGAGTTACTTAAGTTGTATCCCAAGAGAAGTACTCATGAGTAATAAAATGTGAGCTGGTACAGAGCAGTGATGGAATGCTGGACTTGGACTTGGGGGGCCCAGCCCGCCATAGAGGTTCCTGGTTGTCTTTGTGACAGTCACTGACTAACCTCGCAGGGTTTTTGTGAGGATAAAACTGAGGGGAGCTTGTAGCTGCCCACAGTTCCTTCCGAGAAGAAGAAAGGAAGAATATGCATGTAATATAATAACAGTAACAGAGGCAATAATGGAGCAATGTGTTGAAACACAATAAAAACCCAGCAATAGCAATAACGGGCAACCAGACCAAGAGAATGCTTACTTCAGAATATCTGCTTGAATAAAAAGGTATTTTCCTGCCAGCAAATGGACAGCTGGGGGGTGGGGGGATGAAGCTAGTCTCCCTTGGTAGGGAGTTCCACCACTGTGGAGCAGCCTTTGAGAAGGCCATCTTCCGCGTCGCCACCAAATGTGCTCCTGGAGGAGACAGCTTCATAAGAAGGGCCTCTCCAGAAGACGGTAAGACCGGGGCAAGCTCATGTGGGGCGTGGCAGTCGTTAAGGGGTTCTGGTTGCAAGCCATACAGAGGAAAGGACTGGGGGGTGCAAGTTAAGGGGAAGGGATATATTGGAAATTAGGTGATCCTATGGCTGTGGGTGAGACTGAAAAATTTCTAACAGTAAGAAGTCATTGTTCCCTTTTGCTACTCTGTGTGTGCCTCATTTTCATCTTTGCTTTTGCAACTGTCATAGTCCGTAGTTGACGACTGGCTTGAGAGCTACATGAAAGACAGGGAGGCTGGTTTTCTGGAGCTCTTCAACTTCCTTGTGTGCTCCTGTGGCTGCAAGGGTGAGTTACAGTGTGGCCTATATGCATGTGTGTACTCTGTCACCACATCTTTCCCATGTTGTGGTATTCTTCAGTTTTTAGTTGTCTTCCCAACTTTGGAGGTGGCTTGCTCTTTGTGGCTCCAGATATGGCTTATGCTTTCACTGTATTGGTGTAGTTGCAGATGGATGAACCAGCACTTTTCTTCCCCGGCAGGTACAGTAACGCTGGAGATGCTCAGAGGTCTCCAGAACTCAGAGATCATCCAGCAGTTGACAGTATCCTTTCAGGAGGTGAGAGGTGAAAGTATCCTTTCAGGAGGGAAAGGGCTGGTTCCTCGGGAAGTCCTTGTTTTGGAGGGAAGGCAGTAGAAACTTGGTTGAATTTCCTGCTCACCTCCAGGACTCTGCTGAATATCCACTGTCACTGAATACCCCAGTTTGGCGACGGTTCCGAGTGGGCTTCTGTGAGTTGATGGTGGTTCTTGTGCAGCGCACTCAGCATGGTGTTATCTATGATGAATATTTGATGGACAGCCTTATTGCCCTGCTGACTGGCATGTCTGACTCCCAAGTGCGCGCATTTCGTCACACCAGCACCTTGGCAGGTAGGAGAGTAGATGGAACTATCTGGCCCTCCCTGAGAGAGGTTAGTAAGGTGCACTGTGCCCCTGTCTTCCTCTCTAGCTATGAAGCTGATGACAGGCTTGGTGCATGTGGCCCTCAGTGTCAGCTTGCAGAAGGATAACAGTCAGCGGCAGTATGAGGCTGAGCAGGCCAAGGGGTTGAGCCGTCGGGCCCCAGGGAAGCTGGAAGGGCTACTGGAGCAACGCAAGGAGGTGAGTGGGGCTAGGGTTGGGAACCGGGTTCTAGCCAAAAAGGGCTTAGCAGAGGAGAGCAACCCTTCTGAGTCGGATTAAGATCCATCTTGTTCTATGCTTTGCCCTCCACTGTGGTCGGACAGATGTTTCTGGGAACTTGGTTAACAGAATAATAGTAAATATTAGAATAATAGTTTGCATGGTAACACGTGTAGCCTGCACTTCCTTGGTGGAGAGCAGCTTTTAGAGGTAGATTCTTCTCCCACTTCTGTTCCTCTGGCAGGACCATGTCAGCCGCTGCGGTCTCTTGACCTTGAATTAGTCAGGCTTGGAAGGAACCATGATGGAATTTCATCTCTGGAACAGAAATCCTGAATAGTCATCTCTGTATGCTTTAGCTCTCCTCCATTGTGTGTTTGTGTGTGGAGGGTTTCCTTCTAAGTTTCCTGCAAGGGCCCTTCTAATTCTTAGGATCTAATTAATTTCATTCTACTTCTGTGCCACCCCATAGCCTGAGTGTTCTCTGGGCAGCTTACACATGCTCACCACAGCATATAGATGCAAACAATAAAACCAGATAAAAACAATAAAATCAGTAAATTAATAAAACATCTCACATAATAAAAATTATATAAAACTATACACAAAATGATCAACTACAACCAAATAAGTTAACTACCAAAATTAAATAGATAATAACAAAATACAATTTAAATTAACCAAAAACTTGTTTGAACAGAACACTTTTTACCTGGCATCTAGAAACGTAGAAACAGTGAGTCAGAAGGGGTCTTCTGGTCCATCTAGTCTGACCCCCAGCTCCAGCCAGCTCCACTCATGACATGCCTATCATGTGCATGTCCAGCCTATCTTTGAACAAAGGATCTAAAAGCAAAGTTGATGCAAGCTGTATGTCCTTGGGGAACAGATTCCAGAGTCAGGGCACCACTGCAGAAAATGCACCCCCTCCCAGCCCTTTCCCCCTTGATCTCACTGGGGGACGGTGCTCAGAGGAAGACTTCAGAGAAAGATCTAGTGAAATGGGCAGTAATAAATGGAGAGAGGCACTCCCTCAGGTACCTGGTCCCAAGGGGTTAACTTTATATGTCAATGACAACACTTTGTATCGGGCCCTGACTGGAACAGGGAGCCAGTGGAGCTGGCAGAAGGCCAGTGTAAGGTGAGAGCTGAGCGGTCACCAGGGTGTGGGTCACAGGCAGGCCTCTGCACATCCAAGTAGAAATGCAGGTGGAAGATCACCTGAAGCTGAAGAAAGGTGCTCCTGGCCACCAAGGCCACCTCATTGACCAGGGAGAGCTCAGGGTCCAGGAGTACCCCTGAGCTACAAAACTTGCTCTGTAGGGGGAGTGCAGCCCCCTCCAGCATAGGTTGAAAATTTCTGAATTGGAGTGTGGAAGCGCCCCACCAACAGAGCCTCTGTCTTGTCTGGATTCGGCTTCTGTTTATTTGCCCTCATCCAGCCCATTACCAAATTCAGGCACAGGTGCAGGACAGCCACCACCTCGGCTGGGTCAGATGAAAACGCAAAGTGGAGCTGGGTGTCGTCAGCATACTGGTGACACCTCAGCCAGCGGTTTCATGTAGATATTAAAAAGCATGGAGGACAAATTGAACCCCGTGGAACTCCGTGGCTCAGTTGCCGTGGCGCACAGTGACAGTCCTCCACTACCACCGCCTGGAACCGGTCAGCCAGGCAGGGGTGGAACCACCCAACCCAGCAACCATTCCAGAAGGATGCCATGGTCAGTGGCATCAAGAGCTGCTGAGAGGTCCAGGAGAATCAACAGTGTTGCATCTCCCCTGTCTGTCTCCTGGCAAAGTTCATCCCACAGGGCGGCCAAGGCTGCCTCTGTCCCACACCCAGGTCGAAAGCCTGATGGAAATGGGTCTCGCTAATCTGTTTCCCCTGGAGGTGCGTGGAGCTGCCAGCCTGTTACCTGCTCAGTCACCTTGCCCAGGAAGGGGAGACTGGCTGTTGGTCTATGAAATTGTTCCTATCACCCCAGGCCTGGCTTCTTAGGAGTGATGTTACCACAGCCACCTTTAAAGGGGCTTGTACCTCTCCCTCTCTCAAGGAGGCCCTGGCAGGGAGCCATGGACAGCCCCTTCTAAGACCTCCCGGTAGGCCACAGTGGGCAGGGGTTGAGCAGACAAGTGGCGAGTCCGACTTGTCAAAGCACCCGTTCCTGGGGCTATGGTAACTGTAACTGAGGACCAGGTGGCGTGCTGGCTGCCTCTGCCAATGGAACTGGTGCAGCTGTGGTGTCCAATTTGCCCTCCTTTGTCATGCAAATTCATCACAGCAGGCTGCTGAGGGTTCCATAATGTTTCTTTTGGGGCCAGAAGGCCCCAAACCATCTGGAATGGCTCCACTGGGTGGCGCCCTGAAGAGGGGATGCAGGGGGAATACAGATGTCTTTCAGCCCCCTTCACAGTCACAGAATAGGCCTGGTAATAGGGACTGGTTCGGTCAGATTCGGCCCGTGCTTTCCTCCACCTGAGCGCTAGCTGTCTCCCCTTGTGCTTCATTGCCTGTGACTCAGAGGTATTCCAAGGAGTTGGTTGGGCTCTGGGTGGCGTAGAAGTGGAATAAAATAAATGAATGTTCCATGTCCTGCATACTCTGAGGTGATGGAGAAGAGATCTTGGCCCTCCTCTGGGTGGCAACTGTTCAAGTACCGGAAGAATGCACTCAGGAGTCAGACTTGGTGGCCCGTGAGGCCCCTTCTGACTTGCTTTGTTTCTATGTTTCTATGAATGCTCTTCTATCTTCCCTAAGTCTACCCAAGGTTAAACAGACCCCTTTCTTCCACTCTCTCCATGGGGCTTTATTTCTAGGTTCCAAATCATTTTCGTTGTCCTTCTCTGAGCCTTTCCTAATTTGTCTGCCTTTTTCTTCAACTGTGGTGTCCAGGGTTGGATGTAGTGCTCAAAATGAGGCCTCATTGGTGATGAATAGAGGGGAACTAGTACTTCATGTGTTTAGGAGGTGATACTAAAATATCAATGCAGCCAAAAATAGCATTTGTCGACTTTATTGACTTACGTTCACTTGGTGATTTACAAGCAGTTCCAAGTTGTGTTGTATTCATTGCCTTGTGCTCGTATTTGTGTGAATAGTTGGCACACATTTCTATACCCTCCTGGAAACTTCATTGAAGAGAGGTTAAGAATTATTTCATGACATAAATGATACAAATACATAGTAATGCATGGAATACGCTGTACAGTTCTGGTTACCTTATTCCAAAAGACAACAAAAAATGGTAGAGAAGGTTCAGAAGAGGACAGCTAATGTGACTGGGGGCAGTTGGAATATCTCTTCTGTGAGAAGAGGCTAAAATCCATGTGACTTTTTCAGAAAAAATGAATTTATAAAATGTTTGCATGGCATGGTGAAAGTACATCAAAATAAGTTTTTCTGTTTTCATCATGATAAGAGTCAGAAATGACAAAAGGGAAATGAGAAAATGCTATACTGAATTTGTAGTGTATGGAATTTGTGGTGATAGAGGGATTTAAAAGGAAATTCGACTCATGGAAGAAGGACCCTGGTCATGTTGGATAGGTAATTTTACTCTATACCGCTTCCCATGGAGCCTTAATGGGAGAGAATTACTCCCTTGCCTTGGTTTTGGGCTTCCCAGAAGCATTTATCTGGCTTTTGTGGATTTGATGGATCCATTCTCTTCTCTCGTTTTTTTCTCATGAATTTACTCTCTGCTTGCAGTTGTTACACATCCATAAGAAGGCCTTCTTTATTCAATCCTTTGGTCATGGATTTTGCCTAAAGCTTTTCTACATCAGTGCTGACTTTTCAAATCCTATTTTCTTGGCTAGGTTTTCTATTTTAAAAGTTTGCGTTTATTTGCCTCCCTGTAAGCTTATGTTGGTTTTGGTTTAAACTGTGTGATCGTTTAGACATCTTCAGTTGGTAAAATAATTGGTGGGAGCTTAAGCTTCTTGAGTCTTGCTTTGTCTTCTCCCAGTTTCAGGCGCAGCAGGAAGAGCTTGAGAATTTGATGAATGCGGTCTTCAAGGGAGTCTTTGTTCATCGCTATCGGTGAGCCGCCAGAGAGCAAGTGCAAATGGAGCAGGCGGGGCCAGGCAGGCATGCTGTCCATCTTAACACCCCCCTCACTGCTTGCATGTAAAGGGATCTTATACCAGAGATCCGTGCTATTTGCATTGAAGAGATGGGCCAGTGGATGCAGCATTACAGCGCCTCCTTCCTGACCGATGGGTATCTCAAATACATTGGCTGGACACTGTATGATAAGGTAGGTCATTTGGACAAGGTAGATCATACAAGGGACTTCTCTGCTCAAAGGAGAATACCTGAAGAGATGCAGGTGCAAGAAATCTTGTATTTTATTTATTTTATTTATTATTTATTAAAACATTTTTATGCCGCCCCATTCGCCGAAGCCTCGGGGCGGCTCACAACAATAAATCTTGTCAGTCTTCTTTGCACAACTGTGAACATGGCTACCTGCTGACCATGGGTGGTAACGGTTCGGTATGGCAAGGCCATTTCACAGAGGACAAGAGCTCTCCAAAGCGGTAGGTAGACAGAAAGGACTGATTCTAGCAGTTGCAACAAAACTAGACTTGCTGCAGTAGCTTCTCATGGCTCTGTGTGCAGTGTTACAGCTGTGCAGTTGGCAGGAAAGTCTTTTTACAGGTTCAGTGTAGCAGTGGTGCCAGGTAACCTAGCTGCAGCAGAAGGGAAATTTTAACACAGTCTGCATATTCAGTCGTGAGTGACACAGCTCCCAAGTATTTCGTTTGCATTGCCTTAGTAATGTCTTGTGAAGGAAGCCATATAGGATATAGCTTGGTTAGGGGATTAACTGAATAATGGCTTGTCTAAATTAGTTTCTGGCTGTGATGAGCTTTGGTTCCAGGATCTTTTCAGTTCAAAGCAGTTATGAAGGAACATAAAGCCAGTTCAGAGGAAGGGACTTACAATGTCAGTATTCACCAGATGAAGATTCTAGACTGAAGATGTTCAGCTTCGGACTGCTGCCCTGCAGCTCCTTGCAGTTGTTTGTTGTTAGTTGCGAAGTCATGTCCGACCCATTGCAACCCCATGGACAACACTCCTCCAGGCCTTCCTGTCCTCCACCATCTCCTGGAGTCCACCTAAGCTCACACCAACTGCCTCAGTGACTCCATCCAGCCACCTCATCCTCTGCCATCCCCTTCTTCTTTTGCCATCTATTGTTCCCAGCATTAGACTCTTCTCCAGGGAGTCCTTCCTTCTCATTAGGTGGCCAAAGTATTTGAGTTTCATCTTCAGGATCTGGCCTTCTAAAGAGCAGTAAGGGTTGATTTCCTCTAGGACTGAACGGTTTGATCGCCTTGCAGTCCAAGGGACTCGCAGGAGTCTCCTCCAGCACCACAATTCAAAGGCCTCAATCCTTTTGCGCTCAGCTTTCCTTGTGGTCCAGCTTTCACAGCCATACATTGCAACTGGGAAAATCATAGCCTTGATATACGCACTTTTGTTGGCAGGATGATGTCTCTGCTTTTTAGTATGCTGTCTAGATTTGCCATAGCTTTCCTCCCCAGGAGCAAGCATCTTTTAATTTCTTGGCTGCAGTCCCCGCCTGCAGTGATGTTGGAGCCCAGGAAAATAAAATCTCTCACTACCTCCATTTCTTCCCCATCTATTTGCCAGGAAGTGAGAGGACCGGATGCCATGATCTTAGTTTTCTTAATGTTGAGTTTCAAGCCTACCTTTACGCTCTCCTCTTTCACCCGCATCAAGAGGCTCTTTAGTTCCTCTTCACTTTCTGCCATTAGAGTGGTATCATCTGCATATCTGAGGTTGTTGATATTTCTCCCAACAATCTTAATTCCAACTGGTGATTCATCTAGCTCCGCCTTTCTCATGATGTGCTCTGCATATAAGTTAAATAGGCAGGGCGACAGTATATAGCCTTGCCGAACTCCGTTCTCAATTTTGAACCAATCAGTGGTTCCTTGTCCAGTTCTCACTGTTGCTTCTTGACCCGCATATAAGTTTCTCAAGGGACAAATAAGATGGTCTGGTACTCCCATCTCTTTAAGAACTTGCCACAATTTTGTTGTGATCCACACAATCAAAGGCTTTAGCATAGTCAATGAAGCAGATGTTTTTCTGGAACTCCCTAGCTTTCTCCATGATCCAGCGTATGTTGGCAATTTGATCTGTAGTTCCTCTGCCTCTTCGAAATCCTGCCTGTACTTCTGGTAATTCTTTGTCGTGGCCTCTGTGCATCACACATAAGAGTGCTGCGCCTGCGCAGTGCCTAGGCCAGAAGATTAGAAAGCTAACGGTTTTTGGCGGGAAAAACTCCGCTTCCCTCCTCCTCAGTAGTATAAATAGAGCGGAGTGTCCGCCATTTTACTCAGTCTTTGCGACCGCTATTCTCTGTGCCTCGTGCCTGTTTGTTCTTCGCTTAGATCTTTGTGCTCCTTGTCTGCTTTTACACTTATCTCTTCTTAAACTATTCTTCTTATATTCCAAGTTTGTTCTCTTCCCAGTTCTTCATAAATCCTTCCTTCGTTTCTAAAAAAAACCAACAACCCCCCCCCCCAAATATTATCTTACCCTCTATACTGTCTTCTTTATTCCTTTTCGCGATGGCGCAGCGAGCGGCATTCCACAAATGCATCGAATGTGGATCCAAAATGTCGCCTGCAGATCCGCATGATCTATGCCTCCTCTGCCTTGGCGAGGGGCATAGAACTGACAAATGCGGCCATTGCTTGGCGTTTACCAAGCAAGCGAGGAAGAATAGGGAGAATCGTCTCCGAAAACTCCTCCGGGACCAATCCGACCAACTGCTCTTACGGCCTGGTTCCTCTTCGGCCGCGCCTCCTCAGCGCTCCACCCCCACTGTGAGCACTCCTATGAAGTGCCCCGCTGCGACTTCCGCTTCTCCTCCACAGTGTCCTTCGGACGAAGGCGCCACTTCTGTGGAGGCCCAGCTAAGAAATGGGAGAAGCACAAACACACTGACTTGGATAAACCTTCCACTCATAAGAAGCCAAGGAAGGAGAAGGCGGACAAGCCTGCTCACAAGAACAAGAAACCCGACCGCCCCAAACACTGGGGCTCGGGTTCATCGGGTTTCTCAGTACCAACTGCCACCACGGTAACGATTCCCTCGGGACCGGCCCTGCAATCCGCTATGCAGGTGACTCCGCCGGGATCCCCCAGGCCAACCATTCGGCCTGAGAGCGTGTCGCCTCAACAACAGGAGGAACCGCTTCGGGAGTCCATCTCTGATGGTGAGATGAGAGACTCCCCACCGAGGGAACGTTCTCCAACCCCAGTGCCTGCAACCGAACCGCCTGTAGATTAGCCATCGCCTCCCAGGTGTCGCAGCCGTTCGTCTGAACGTCAGGATGAAGATTGGTTGATCCCTGGATATGGTCCCCCACCCCCCCGCCTGGGGTGGTTATCAGCCATATCTGTACTTTCCTTGGGATCACAGATCACCATTGGTCCTGAGAGACGTACCATCCACGTCGAGGCGTGTGGAGAGAGGACTTCCAACCTCTCCTGAAACCTCCTCCTCGAGCGACCGCCATTGCTATGATGAAGACTCGGATGAGTCGGAGGTCAACTCAACATCCCCCAATGTTGCGATTACCTCCCAAGGGCCTGCTTCACCCGATGAACCACATGTCTCCTTTACGGAGCTCATGTCCCGCCTTGTTCGGTCTCTTGAGATCGAAGCCCAGCACCGGCCGGGTCCTTCCACAGATCGGTTCTACGACGTCGTTCGGGGAGAGCAATCTGCAACCATAGCCCTGCCGCTAATTACTACACTCCGGCAGGCTATGGTCCAGCCCTAGGATCAACCACAAGCTACCTCCCACCGGTATGAAGCCATGTACAGAGTTCGAGAGGACGATATTCCTTTTTTACTCCGTCACCCGAAACCAAACTCTCTTGTGGTTGAATCCTCCCAGGGCAGGGAGTCCAGGGGACACACTGCCCCTCGAGACAAGGAAGGGAAGAAAATCGATATGCTTGTGCACCGAGTCTATGCAGCCTCTGGGCTTGGCATACGCATATCGAATTACGAAGCAACACTGGCACGTTACCAGTACTTCATTATGCAAAAGCTGGATAACATTGCTTCCTCCCTTCCAGACCACCAAGCGGACCTTGCCAGGGTCTTCATCAAAGAAGCGATGCAGGTGGCAGTGCAGCAGTTGTCTACCGCAAGGCACCATATAGACACGAATTCAAGGGCTCTCGTCAATGCCATCTCCTTGCGCTGACATGCGTGGCTGCACAACTGTAATTTCCCCAATGAAATGAAATGCAGAATCGAGGAAATGCCATTTGATGGCACTGGTCTGTTCCATCAGAAGACCGCAAGTTAAAGGCGATACACGAATCGCGCATGACTGCGCGCCGCATGGAGCTCCCTCAACAGAAGCGTAAGTGGCAGTGGTCTCGTCCCTCCTATCGGAACCAACAATACCACCCTCAACAGCAATATCAGCAAAGACAGCAACGTCGGAGGCAGCAACCGCAACAATGCTTCTCCCAGGGCTGTCGATGCTTCGACGCCGATAAACGCCCACGTTGATGGTCTGGGTGAACCATCCTCTCTCTTCCAACATCACCTTCCCTTCTCCCTTTTGGGGACCGGCTCCAGGGCCAACTCCCCATTTGGGAGTCCATTACATTTGATAGGTGGATGTTATCTATCATTCAGTTTGGATATAGGATAGATTTCGATGTCGTCCCTCTGTCGAGCCTGATGCATTTTACACCTTCTTCATCGGTGCCATGCGACGAGGTTTCTCAGTTGCTCCTCAAGGGAGCGATTTGACAACTATCCCGATCGTAGGGATTGCATGGATTCTGTTCCAGATATTTTACGGTCCCGAAAAGGGACGGTGGTCTTCGTCCGATTCTGGACTTACGGACTCTTAATAAGTACATCAAACCAAGAAAGTTTCGAATGACCACTTTACAGAATATTTTTCTGTTACTGAAGAGGGAGGATTGGTTCGCCTCACTGGACTTGAAGGATGCCTATTTTCATATTTCTATCCATCCTTCGCACAGACGCTTCCTACGTTTTACTGTCGGGTCCTATCTGTTCGAGTCCAATGTTCTGCCTTTTGGCCTGGCTACCGCCTCTCGAGTTTTTACGAAGTGTATGACGCTGGTATGTGCACACTTACAAACATGGGGAGTGCAAATATACCCTTATTTAGACGATTGGCTAATCGTTTTGCAAACTAAACAAGGTCTTCTGTCTGC